AGATATTTTTTCATATAGGCTGCGTTCGGTTATTCACTGTATCGCAAATCTATAGTATATGTAATATGAACTATAAATTTTCAATACTTGCAGCGAATAACAGAATGCACTCCTAGACTATAGGTCTGTTTTCTGTGGCTGAACTACATTTTTGAAACTTAAAGTGAGATATGTTTGATATTTATCAAAAGTGAGAAAGATAGTTCTAGTGCAGAAAACAGACCAGATGTTTAATTTCTACCGAATTGAGTCAAAGTCAAATCAGAGCAGAGAGAAATCTGAGAATAGATGAGCAATCGAAGTTAATTATTCGTCCTTGTCTAACCCACTTAATAATAGGAATATTCCAATATATAGAAGAGAACCATAAAAATGTGTATCTTACGAGGTTTGTTAGATAAAAAAGGCCAGGATGCCTGGATCTTAGGTTTCTCTTTGATCAGAGTCGGGTTAGAGTTAAGTTGGCTTGCCTGTTTTCGCCAATCAGAAGGTTTGTTCGCGTCGCAAACTCCAACATGCTCCAACATACTTCTACCACAGCTTCTACTCACTCTATCAAGCGTTGGAATGAGTAAGAGCTATGGTAGGAGCATATTACAACATGTTGGAGCATGCGACATGAACAAACTTAGAATTACACTAAGATTGCAGCAGAGTTACACTATGGTACAAGAATAAGGTATTCTATTCCCAAGAATGCGCAATCGTCTTGAATATGACAGCTGCTCTTTAATCAATCAAAACGTTGTCTGAAATTGTAAAAAGAAATCTGACTATCTTAAAATTTTATTGGGTAGGATTCTTAATATTTCCATCGTAAGAGCACTCAACTAAACCCGACTTCGACTTGACTTTGAAATATAACTATGTTTCCACTTCGGTGGAAATATAGTTATATTTCTCTTATAGAAATAATTTGTAAAAATTTATCGGTTTATTTAGATTTATACTCTTTTAATTAATTGTAGATTTTCCAATTAATTCTTGTTCCTTGCGTAATTCTTGTTCACGTTGTTGTTCCCTATTCATTGATTCTTTTTTCTTAATCTGTTGAAGACGCAACACGCGTTTCTGCAATAAATCGTTTTATATAGCTAAAAATACTTATATTACCTATATGCACACATTCTAGAAAGAAAATTAATTTTATAATTCACCTTTAGTTTAGATGTTCTTTCATGAATATTAATCATTTCTTTTCTTATCACTGATAATTTTCCTTGATAAATTTTAACGGCTGAAAACTATAAAATTTTTAAATGTAATTTTTCTGTCATGAGATGTCAATATTCCAAACATATTACAAGATCTTTAATCCGAAATTCCAAAAATCGAAATCTCTAAAAATCAAATATTATAAAAAACACATAGATTATTTTGTTTATTGTGTAAATAAAAATAAAATTTTTTGTTCGAAATCCAATTTTTATTTTCATCTTTAACTTCACCATGCTATGTACTTTCAAATTCAAATATTAAAAATTTGAAACATTTTCAGTTACAATCATTTCGGATTGAAGATATTCAACTTATATCATGAGAGAAAGAAAAAAATCTTACCATATCATTTAAATCTATATCTTCAAATGTCTCATGTATCCTTTTATTCTCAAGCTGCATTCGTGTAAGTAGAGACTCTTGTTTATTACTGTAAGAAAAATAATATGAACAATCAATGTGACATCTTTATTGTTTGTATTACTGATTTATATGCTTACGTCAGCTCGAAAAGTTCTTGCTTAACTTGTTCCAGTGGGTATTGATAAATACCTAAAAGACCTTCCGCCAGTTTTTCTGCAGCTTCTGCGAAATCTACTATATCTTCGCTATTAAAAAATAAATAATACTTTTAAATTGTGCATTATATTATGTATTATATAATTATAATATATA